GTAATTCATCCCTGCTCATGGGTGACCAGAATCAAGAAGGAAGACAGAGTCCCTCTAGTCAGAAGCTTAGATTTCAGTCGCTGAAGCTATTTTTGCCGGACCAGCTGACCCTTCTGTATAACTAGGCAAAGTACAGAAGTTGAACCCTCCCATACTTTGGGTCAGCCTTGTTATCTTTCACTCTCAGTTCTTTACAGGGGGCTTCAGATTTATTTATGTCTTTGATTTCTATCCTGTCCTTTAGCCAGATGGCTCAGATTACTTCACTTTGCAATGAGTTGAAAGGATGCATGGACCCAGGGTCACATTCACTACCCTTGCTATCTGTGTGATTCAGCTGATGTGTGATGTGCGTGCAGAAAGGCCTGTCACAGGCCAAGCACAGGGACAGAAGAGGAATGGTCAATGCTGCTCCCTTTGCACAGCCTTCCAATGTGCGATGGCTGCGCATTTGTGCACGCACTTTCAGCCTTCTTCATCTTTATGTCTGATGAAGAAATCTGGCCTCTTGATGCTTCCCCAGCATTTGGTCCTTATGGGAAAACTTCTCTTGCTAAATATCTACCATAACTAGGGAAAGACTTTTGGTAGAAATTTAATCAGTGTATTTACTTAGAAGGACTTCAGTGGGACTTACTTTGGAGTAACTACACATTGAACAGCACTCTTTCTTATTACTTAGCTTCTTACTTAGCATGAATACTACATTTTATTTTGTCGAGAAATGCCCAAAGTAAAAAATAAATAACCTTAAAATCATTCTGCAGATGGTCCAACAAAAATGAAAATCAGCTTTATGCTCCATGCTGAAGCCAGCAGTGGTGGCAGGGCAAGTGCCAGAAGAGCCCTACTCCCATTCTGAACTAGCATTAACTAGCATCTAATGCTAAGGCCTGATAGAGGAGGGATTAGTGATCCGGGTAAACCTGCTAGGCTATGTGCTTTGGTGCAAAAGAGGCTGGCTGCTGATTGGACAGCAGCTACTAATTTAATCCTCTCAGGCAGAGATGCATGGGCAGGACATTAAGACTGGGCAGTTTACACAGGAGAAGACTTCGGCCAGCTTATCCTGAACAAAACAGATAGCTGGCTGTTGGGAAGAATGGGAAAGATGCAGCTGAAAATGAGTGATGAAGAAGGAGTGTCTAATACAGGGTGGAGGATTGAATAGACAAACAGTGAATTAGGAAGCAATAATATTGGAGAAAATAATTTTGCAAAATTTTATACAGAAATATATAATATATTTCTCCTTTTATTTGTCCTTTAATATTAAGTATTTATGGCTATAAAGCTTCCATTTTATTGTTTAAAGTTTATTGATTATTCACATTTATATACCACTTTCCACTTTTTACCTTCTCTGAAACATGGGAAGGTAAGAAGTGCTTCAGGGTCTGGCATTCTGTGGCCTTGCAGCACATGCTGGATCAGGAATAGTGATTGTGGTTTTGGTTCGCTTTGCTTTGCTTTTAAGGGAAAACAATAGACAGGGGTATTGGTGTTTCACCAGTATGGGTTGTTGTTAGTCATGAAGTTGTACCCGACCAATCGCGACCCCATGGACAACACTCCTCCAGGCCTTCCTGTCCTCCACCATGTCCCGGAGTCCACCTAAGCTCACACCAACTGCCTCAGTGACTCCATCTAGCCACCTCATCCTCTGCCTTCCCTTTCTTCTTTTGCCATGTATTGTTCCCAGCATTAGACTCTTCTCCAGGGAGTCCTTCCTTCTCATTAGGTGGCCAAAGTATTTGAATTTCATCTTCAGTATCTGGCCTTCTAAAGAGCAGTCAGGG